GAAAGCATAAAAAGACAATCCAACCTTATTCCCGTGCCGGTCGTAAGATCGAACATTGCAGCCGAGCACACAGCAAGTACGAACCATGGCTATGCTATCGCTCCTAGCTTAGACCCCCAAAATGGTGAATCGGGCCAAAATCTTTTCCACGCCCACCCCCGTGACATCACGCTCCGAAGCCCTATTGTTATTCAGCTTGCCTATCAATTCTGCTTATGAGTTCTACAGTCAGCTGATTTCAGTTTGTGTGCCAGAGGAGCAAAACAGTATAGTAGTCTTCAGTAGGTCTGCAATGATCATAATCGATGATGTCGACTACAAAAATGTGAATTTTATTGTCAACACTAGACTAATACCACGTAAATGTATTTTTGTAACTGCAGTACACTACAGGAAGCTATTGGGGGAGTAGCGCTTATATTGTCTGCCAAGACTGCACCAAGAAGAAGGCACGATCTGATGTCCTCGTGCTGGCGTTGTTCCCACATCATCTTAATAAATGTTGTTCCAGGTTCAACATTGCAAGTGACCAATCACATTGTTGTGACGTCATACTTTTGCGACTTTGGAAAAAAAGTCTTAAAAAACAAACGGTAAGCATTATACATGTTGTCCTGGCAAAATTCAAATTTCATAAATGAATGAATCGCTTGGCTTGCAGACGTATGACGTCACAACAATGTGACTGGTCACTTGCAATGTTGAACCTGGAACAACATTTATTATGATGATGTGGGAACAACGCCAGCACGAGGATATCACATCATCGCGAACAGCAAAACAGGAGGACAGAAGAAAATGGAAACTGAGATTTAAAAAAATGTGAAAGCATTTCGCAGAAAATAAAGTTAAAATGCAGAATGTCCAAAGCACTGCCCCCTGGAGGTGAGACGTAAGCTTTACAGTTAGTGCGTCACATTGATTCTTTGTTTATGTTAATATCTGTATAGTAATGTTTATGTTAGCGTACCTGCTCTTAAATTGGCGGTAACTATAATTAAATTGCATAGTCACAAAGGAGGAGAGAGGAGGGCAAGCAAAGAGAACCCAGAGAGTTATTTAAAACTTCCAAAATGACAAGAAACTCATTTCTATTCAATTCAATTTTATTTATATAGCGCCAAATCACAACAAAAGTCGCCTCAAGGCGCTTCATAGATACAGAGAAAAACCCAACAATCATATGACCCCCTATGAGCAGCACTTTGGCAACAGTGGGAAGGAAAAACTCCCT